GGCTGGCAGCTGGGAGAGAGCAGAGGGGTCACATCAGCATCATCCCCACCTGGAAGTGCAGCTTCGAGGCACATTCAGGCACGGGCAGGGCTCAAACCGCCGCCCTGTGGGACGAGGAGGAGCTCACCAAGGCAGGCTTCTTGCGTGTCCTCACGGTCGGCGCTCATGAACAGCCTGGCCAGCACGATGAGCAGCAAGGGAGACAGAAATGCAATGAACTGCACAAAACAAGAACATTTTTAGGTGCCAGTGAAGCAGGTTGAAGCTCTCACAGAACACCATGGCAGTTGCTCAAGAAGGCTTCCCCTCCCCAAAGCCGAGCAAGCAACTGTCCTCTCCAACGTGCACTTCCATCAGCAGCACAGACCCATCCCAGCTGGATTTGCAGCAGGCCCAGATCAGCCCAGCATGCCCTTGGGCGCTCAGACAGCTCCTGTGGCAGGGACTGCTGCCCTGGCTGGTTACTGGGGGTGTCCCCAGGCACAGCACCTCAGCTCTCCCCTCCCTGCAAGCCCCGGCAGTAGCGCCCTGTCAGCAGCACTGTCAGCAAAACCACGGGAGCTGCTGATTCAGTTATCATCATTCCCATCTCAGCCGCCACTGCACTGGGGGATTTCACCCCGGGACATCCACAGCAAGGCTGCCAGGCTCCCAAGGAGCCTGAATTCTGGCACGTGTTCTGCTTTACACCACCAGCTCCAAATGCTACCCTGAGGTTTTGTCCTTAATGTTCAGTGCCCACCTCTCGCAGAAAATCCCAAGTGCCATTTGCCAGGAAAGCAGGAGCTTGCCCAAGTCAGGAGCCACGGCCCCTGACCTCACACCTGCTCCAGAGGGAGCCAACCCCTCTGACACGCTGCTGTCTCCTGGAAGTCCTGCACAGGGTTATGTCAACCCCTTTTCACAGAGCCTGGAGCCCTCAGGAAAACATCTCACAATAAAATGATAATAAACTCTGCTAAAAATAGCTGCTAGCAAGGGAAATGTTCCCTGATAGAGAGAGCTATGCTATCTCTGTGCTCCTGGTAATTTGGACGTGGAACAAGATTATGACCAACAGTGCAAAGTCCACAGTAGTTTATAAACTTCAGATCCCAAAGACAAACCTGGATGATAAATCCTGAAAATATGACAAAAGTAACTGTAAGTCTTATCTAGTTTATACTAATCTCACGGGATGAGCTGGAAGGTACCACTGGGGGCCATCCAGTCCAACCCCTCTGCTCAGAGTCCTTGGAGAATGTCACTCAGGATTGTGTCCAGATGGATTCTGAGTGCCTCCAGGGAAGGAGACTCCCCCTTCTCTGAGAAGCCTGTGCCAGTCACCCGCACAGGAAAGTTCTTTCTTGTGTTCAGGTGTAAACTCCAGTGTTTCAGTTTTTGCCTCGTTCTCCACAGAGCAGAGCCCAGCTCCATCCTCCCAACCCCTCCCTTGAGCTATTTATCCACATGGATACAATATCCTGCCCTTTCAGCAACCTGAATTAGGAGCTCCAGGTGTTGCAGTACAAGCCTTTAGCCAGCAGCTTTGCTTTATAATTAGAAAAAAAAAAAAATCAAGGTGCAATGCAAGAAACACTGGCACGGGCTGCCCAGAGAAGCTGTGGATGCCCCATCCCTGGAACTGTTCACAGGTTGGGTGGGGCTTGGAGAACCCTCCTCTGGTGGAAGGGAGGCATCCCCCGCGGTGGGAGGGGACACGACAAGATGGTATTTACGGTCCCTTCCAACCCCAAGCACCCCATAAACTTACAAACATGAGGGCGGTGGGGACGTGGTCCACCTCAACGTAGGGGTTTTTATAGAGCCACATCTCCTCGGGCTGCACCACGCGCTGGAACGGCGGCAGGAACTCCATGATCCTGGAACGAGACACAAGGAAAAAAAAAAATGAGCGCTGGGGCGGGCCCGGGGGGGCCGGGGCGGGGGTCCCGCACTCACCCGAAGCTGGCGAGCAGCAGGGCCCGCAGCGCGGTCTCGGCCGCCAGCTCCGCTCGCCTCATGGCCACTGCCCGCCCGACCAGCCACCGCCCCCGGGGCGGAGCGAGCGCAGCCTCCGCTCCCTTCCCGGAGGAGGAACCCCGGAGCCGGGAGTCCCGTTATCCATCCCCCCCCCAACTCCCCACTGCCAGACGGAACTGAGTCATCTCATCATTGGAACATTCAGAACGATTTATTGAAGTCAACCTCAAGCAAAAATTTCAGATCAGTGGAATGTCATTAAAAACCTTTCCAAAGGAATCCTCACGGAAAAGCAAAAAAAGAAAAGAAAAAAAAAACCACAAACAAAACCCCCCCAAAACAAAGAAACAAATAAAAAGAAAAAACCAAAACCCCCCACATCTGAATTCCAGAGTATTTGTAAAATAAAATAAAAAAAAAGGCAACATTTCAGTAAATAGAATGTACAAAAATTATATGTTCTACCATCACACACAGTCAGTAAGAAGCTAAAATATTACAGGCAAGTCTCGATACGCTCTACCTAGAGGACAGGAGCTATCTATGTACAGGGAACCAGCTTTACAGGCTTCACACTATGCAAGAGGACAGAGGCCAACACAAACCCCCCAAAATATCGGATATCTCAAAGTCTATGCAGCAACATCAAGTCATGATACAGTAATGCCCCGTGGAATCGGACACTTCTCCTTAGTGTCAGGGCTGCGTCAGCGTCCAAAAACTCCTCCATACCGACTTGGGTGAATATCGATGCTTTGCTAGTAAAGACTCGAGTGATTTCGTTAAAATAACATTTCACAGAATCTACAAAGTTTGTTACAGATAAACAAAGTCTACAGAAATAACAACTCTACAAAGGTCCATCTTACAGAGCACGTGGGGATGGAGGCGGATCCACAGGGATCTGTGCTGTGCAACATCACTCGCGTGGAGACAAACGGGTTGGGGTCCTCACGGCACCCCAAATGCAAATCCCCCCGCCCCCCTGGCTCAAACGGGACATGATCACCCCAGGGGCTGTGGCAACACCATTGGCTCGGTGGGAAAGTGACACGGACAGAGATACAGCTCCACCTGGGAACAGGGAACGTGGGGGTTCATCCAGTCTCTCTATGACCCAACACGAGTGAGAACTGCTCGGTGGGGGGCTCCGAGGGACCTCCACTCAGTTGGGATCTCCAGAGGGGACCCCAGGAAGCCGCCCGGCCCCCAGAGCTGGCGGTGGCATGGGGAGGGCACAGCCCCGGGGAACAGGGAGTGGTGAATGGCTTTGGCAAATTAGTACGTGTTTTCCCTTCTTGATTCACATTAATCACAGAAATCCCCTACACTAAGCACAGTTCCAGCTCCCCACCTTCCGCTCCGGAATGACGAGACCCCTTCCAGGGGAGCAGGGAGCTGAGCTGCTCACTCAGGAGCACAGCATCATAGGGAACAGCTTTGCTTTTCTTCTTTTTCCCTCAGAGCAACACCGGGAACACATCCAGCGTGTAGGAGTGTACTGTATGTGCAAATGTTTTTGCTACACAAAGAGAAACGGTGGGGAAAGCTGATGGGAACGGGAAGCAAAGGGACAGCATCGCTCCAAGGTCGCCGTCTCCCACTCAACGCCTGGTGAGCACACACCTCCGAGACAGCTTCCAAACCCTCCCGTTTGCCACGGATCCACTGTACAGCGGGAGCAGGAAGGAACTTAGGGGGAAGCCAAGGACATTTTCAATGCAGTCATACAAAAAATTATGTATAAATAAAAAAAAAAAAAAAAAAAAAAAAAAAAAAAAAAAAAAAAAAAAAAAAAAAAAAAAAAAAAAAAAAAAAGCTGTAAAAGGAACCGCAGAGCTTCAAGTACATTAAACCCTGAATTCATGAGGCAGAGGTTTCCATGTTAAAGTGACTTCTCCGTACCAGCGTCAGACACCCCCATCCCACCCTCCCCCCCTCCCCGCCCACATAATTCTGTAAAGTTTCAATATATACAGATTTTATGCTCATTGATAATCATGTTTTAGTAGTTGTGTCTTTCCCATTCTATCCTGAAATTAAGATACAAGAAGTTGGGGCTTTTTTATAAGAAAGGCCAAAAATCCACATTCCAGCCCTATTACTCCATTTGAACAGATTCTCCAAGATCACGTGGTGACCAGAGAAGGTGATTTGCCCACAAAATCGTCTTCCTGAGCTGCAAATGCCTTCAACAGTCTACAGACAGGACAAGTCTATACAATAATCCAACAGCTACAACAGCTAAAGCTTGCACTGTGTGTTCAGAAGTGATGAACCAGCCTCTGCACCACTGGAATCACAAAATCATGGAATTCTACCTTCTAGACTCATCTGGCCAAGGGCTGCAGGGCGCCTTGCTGTGATCAGGAGCAGTTGGAGAGGAAAAGCTCCAGGAAAGCACAAACCCCATCACCTGCGCAGAGCAGCTCAGGCACTGCCCAGGTGCCACAGCTGGAGGCAGGAGGTCACCAGAAGTGTGGGGCCCACCCCAAAAAAATCAACATAAAACTATGGGAAAAGTGTGCCAGTGTGTTCCCATGAAGGCACAACCGACAGGCTGGAACAGCACATTGCAGCTCTCCACCAAAATGACCAGTTCTGTGGATTTCCTCCAGGCCTCAGCATGAAATGACCAAACTATCCAAGGTTCCTTATTCTGGAGCCCACACAAATCAATTCAGCAGCTGCCTCCCCCTCTGCTGAAGCCAATTCATCAGAACAGCTGTGTAATCTTCTCCTTACAAAGGAACTGCACTAAGGAATAGCGTTCTGGTTACTCAGTCTGCAAAGACGTGGCTAAAATACTCATTTTAACATCTGAGTCTGGCACTCAGAACAGCCTCTCCAGTCACCAAGATACTTTGAATTGGCATTTTCTCATCTCACAACGTTAAAGCCTTTTGAAAGATTCACCTTCTCTTCAATTCAGTGTTTTGTTCACAAACTGCACTGCCTCACAAACCATCTCCTGTTTTCCCTTCGAAGTCCAAGGCCAGCTGTTGGCTGGTTTTTTTTTTTTTTTTTTGGTGGAAACAATATATCATATATATTATATATATTTTAGATATAATATATATAAAATGTATCAGCTGATACCTGCAACATCAGAATGCTCTGACTTCCCAGGAGAAAACCACTGAACTTTATCAAGCCTAATAAATAATACAAAGTGAACCCCTCGGGCCCCACAAACACTGTAGCAAGAGCCGTGTTTGGAATTTCTGAGAAGGTTATAAACATCCTCAGCATGGAGCTTTAAAAGAGACGTTTCCCACACAAAATGCTCAGAAAAATAAAATCCTTTTTTTGTAAAAAACACCAAAATCCAGCACTGCTCTCCAGGGTTAGTGCCAGACCCTCACCAGAGCATGAAGTGCTTTAGGGGTCCCACGAGCCGCTGTCCCAGGACTGTCCCAGACACCCAGGGGAGGGTGTGGGCAGGTGTTCAGAGCTGAGTCCACGGCACAGCAGCTGCTCAGGGACTGTAGTGTATCCTGTCATTCTACAACTGCACACACACACACACACAAAAAAGAACCCAAACACAACTTTCCCCCTGTACATAAATTTGAGGATGAGAAGGACACTGGGCAGAGGCAAGACAGGTTCTAAATCCCGCATGGGCTTTTTCAGCCTATTCCCTCCACGGAGAATCTGAGAATTCTCAGTGTTCCCGTAGGTTTGTGTAAGCAGTTTTCCAGAGATAAGGTTCTTAATTCCAAGGCTGAATTCAGCCAGATGCCAGCAACACTTGATTGTTTTCAATACCCACAAGCAAAGGCTGGCAGGAACAGGTATTATCAGTACACAAGTCAGAAGTACTCGCTGTACCGGGGCAGGGGGGGACACACAGTGCGTGGTGAGATCATGGGCTGGGGGAAGAGGGTCACCAAAACCAACTCTAGCCTGGGGACACCAGTACCCCATGGCTCCTTGCACAAACAAATGGAGGAAAATAGGTTTTCTAAAGAAAATCTGGAGCAGAAGCCGACCTAAGCCACTTCCAAAGCCTCGCTGAAGGAGTCTGTCTCTCTGATTAGCAGTGGAAATCCAAGAGAGAACCATCTCCTGAGGCTCCAGCTGGCTGCTGGGATACGGCCCATTACCCAGACACAAAATACCCTGTTCATCAAGGAAGTGCTGAGATGTTCCTCAGCTCCACTAATGACGAAGATTAAAGTTAGAAGATCTCTCTCAGCAAAAAAACAAAACCAAACCCAACTGTTCAACCAAAACCAACACACACATGGGTCGGGTCCCTTATGTGCCCAAGTGTTCCCTGAAGCCACGGGGAGCCTGAGAAGGCAGCACTGAAGAATCACACTCAGTACCTGCCACCAAACCAGTGCAGATGCGGCAGATGACAAACGCACCAGCAGGACTGACTTCAGCTCTGAGACTGGGAGCCTCTCCTGCCTGGGAAAGGATCCCAAACTGGCAGGATAAAGAAATGACCACTGTGCAACTGAACTTTGAATTTTCACCTATTTGCAAACACCCTTTACAGCTCTGGAGCAAGGAACCACCACTTCTTCCCTGCCTAAACACTGCCAGAACTCATGTTACGAGCACTTCCAAGAAGTCAAACACCTGATTTCTCACAGGAAAAGTTTCACAATAATATTCATAAGTTAACACGAGAGACAACCTACCTTCTCCAATGCCTTTAACAATAAGTACTGGAACAGAGGCATTTCAGAGTCACCTGGTCTGACACCCACACCTGTCTGTTTGGCATCTCAGCGTTACAGAGGGGGGAGGCTTTGCTCTTTCCATTAACTAGACACAAAAGTTACATTGGCTTCGCTGTTTTGTTTTCAAAGACACGTTGACTGATCAAAGCCAGATCTTCAACACCCTTTCAAAATTAAATAAATAAATATGTTGCTATGCTTTGCTTTCTACACTCAAGGAACATTATTTTAAACAGAATATTCTTTTCACTGTCTAAAGGTCTACGGTTTTCTTCGAAGGCCAAGACGTTCCTGGTTTCCAACAGTAAGAGCTGCTGTAGCACATTCAAGGGTAAAAGAAAGACCAAACAATAAAAACCAAACACCACTGCCTGGTTCTGCTCGCTCAGGTCAATGGTCCCGTTCCAGCCCACACGCGACGGCTCCAAGGACAGACTGAGCGTGGCATCGCAGTCTCCCCGAGTTCGTCGCCTGTTGCCCCTCTTCTCCCCTCCTGCGCTTGTCTTTAACCAAAATCACTCCTTCGCCTCTTCCACAGCATTCTGTGCTTCCAATTTGCACTTGATCTTGCTCCAGTACTCGGGTGCCACGGGAGATTTGGGGTCGTGTGCGGAGCAGCAGAGGCGGCCGTCCAGCGCCGACGGCACCAGGGCTCCCTTCTCGTGATCCTTACAGAAGGAATGGGGGCAGAACTCACAGAAGGAAACAGCAGGATTGCTACACACGTCGCACTGATGCCACGGACATTCCCACTTTCCTGGGGATGGGAGCAGAGAGACAGGAAGCTGGAATTAGTGCATTTCAGGGACACCAATAGCCTTTAACCCTCACTCCGTGGTGGAGTTGCTCAAATGAATGCAAAGAAGGTTTAGAAAAATCAGGTGGCTGCTGCTACTTCTCACAGACAAGAATCTATTTTGCACTGCAGTTTATTTTGCATTTTTAGGCCTCTCCTGGCCACACAACTGCTCTTACCAAAAGGTGGTTGAGTCAGGTTAAGGCATAGGAGGTGGTACGCTTTGGGACAGTCCTTCTTATCACACATGACCAGCTCTCCCCCATCTCCACATTGGAAACAGTTGTCTTCATGCATCTGCTTCTGTTCCGTTTTTATTTTCCGCTTCTTCTGCTTTAACTTTGCGTTCTTCACCTTCTCTTCATTTGCTGTTGCAAACGCTGTCTAACAAGGACAAAACCACAGCACATGGTCACTTACAAACCCCTGGCATTAAAATCTACTTTGGGTTATTATTTGCATGAGTTCTGCTTAAATTAGATCCACTCAAAAAAGTTGTTAAGCTGTAAAAGCCAGAAGTGTCCATCCAGATGTTTCTGAATTAACAGTCTGGTAAATTAACAACTTCTCCCCAGACACAACAGCACTGTAGGGCACACTAAAATCCTTAGGGACTTTCAGGGGTGGAAAGTACTACACAGGCTAAAGAGTCAAATAAATCAAACCCCTCTCTTTGCCCTAGGAAATTTCTGGATTTGGGAGGAGAAGCTTCATTGTTCACCCACGTACCTTGGGACGCACTCCCAGGAAGCCGCTGCAGTTCTCTGCTCCGCAGTGACACTCGGTCCTGCCATTGCCCAGGCAATCCAGGTTGTAATTGAATGTTAACTCCATTCCTGCAATTGAAGGAAAACCAATTCACCCACACGGACACTGGGGAACAACAGGCCTGTGACAGTGATGTTTCGTTAGTGTTTGTAAGACCCCTGCTGAAACTGGAACCTAAATATTGTCTCCACTCCAATGAATGACAAAGTTCCTAAACATGCCACTGGAATTAAGTAACTTTAAAGAAAAAGAACATGATTCCAAGTGAGGAATTTGGCCATCACAAGACAAAAGCAGATATGCTCAACAGTGCCATCCTTTTACCTGCAGGAATGTCACAAAGAGCAAACAGTCCAACTCTAATGTCACCATTCACTGTCCACTTCTGTGTTTCACAGTTTGGGTTACAACTATGGTTCATAAAACGGGAGTAGTTCCCCTTTGGGCCAGCATCTATTATTCGGTCCTTCAAGGAAAAAAAAGACAAAGATGTGTTTAGTACTTACAGAGGAAACGAGGTTTCCTGCTGACCAGCAACAGTTTCTATGGAACACTAAATCTCACCTTGGTCACAGTTAACATATAAAAATTGGTGACGCTGTTCTCGTGGGCACGTTTGATGCGCAGCCGGCACTCCTCCTCGTCAATGAGCTCCCCAACATACTCATTCACAAACTCACCCTGCGGAGGGAAGGAGAACAAAAATAAGAAATTATGCATCCTACTCATGGTGACAAAGGAGAGCAACACAGAGAAAAGTATTTCCTATAAAAAAAAAATCATCAAAAAGTGTTACACTTTAATGGTCCCATAGGCACAGTTAGAATATGTGCACCAGGTACTTCCTGCCCAAGCAATAAACTGCCTCAGATTAAAAGGCAGCAGAGCCCAGCCTTGTTCCTGCATTCACTGACAAGACAGTCATCAGTTCTCTAAAATCCTTTCAACTTCCCTGTTTTCTTTTAATATCCACATTTAAAAGCAGAACACACTGTGGGCTCGCAGGGCTAAGGGAACTCGGAAGAGCTGGGATGTGACCGACACCCTGATACAAGGAGTCAACACCGAGCCCTGGGCATCACTCTGCAGCCAGGCTAAAAGGTTAAAACACTCCTAACAATGCACTCGCTGGAGGTGCAGAATGCAGTGTTTTCACCCAGACCCACCCTGAGGTGGCTGTACCTTTTTAATGCTCCTTTTGGTCCTGAGGCCCCAGCCGCGGCGCTCGGTTTTGATGATCTCGGCGTCGGGGTAGAGCCTCTTGGTGAAGCACTGGTTCTGGCAGCGCTCCCCCGCCGGGCACACCTGCGGGTGGCACTCGTACTGCAGCATCCTGTTCAGGCACTCCGACTCCAGCCCGCACGGGTTCTCGTCCGAGGGCTTGCAGTTACACCGGGGGATCTCCGACAGGTCGGCCACCTGGATCTGAACCTTCCCTATCACCTTGTTGGACTGGGGAACGAAGGAGGAGAAGAACAGAGGATGAAGACAATGCACAAGGAACACAGAGTCAACAACTGACATGAGAAGGCAAGAAAATAATTATTTCATCCTGTGTTTTAATGGCACTGTAAGACAGAACAAAGTAATGGTGAAAAGAACAGCAAAATGATGTGAGAATTTCTTTAGGCTTCAGTTGTTGCAAGCACTGGTTTAAGTCCATAACTCAGGATCATGGAATCATAGAATGGTTTGGGTTGGAAGGGACCTTAAAGTTCATCCCATTCCAACCTCCTGCCACAGGCAGGGACGTCTTCCACTTGACCAGGTTTCCCCAAGCCCCGCCCAACCTGGCCTTGGACACCGCCAGGGATGGGGCAGCCAAAACTCCTCTGGGCATACTTACTCATACATAAGTTAAAAATAGAAAAGAAAGAAGCCAACTCACTTTAATGTGTTTATAGGGTGGAGGTTTCCTTGAATTCCTTTCAATTTCCAAAGCCTCTTTGCTTTCTCTTTGTGCTTTCAGCTCCTGGAAGCGCTTTGCTGCTTCTTCAAGTGCTGTGCAGGGAGTTCAGAACAGAAAGCAATTAGCCCCAGTTGCTGCTTATCAAACATGTACATGTATCCATTTAGATTTATTTTTTTTTTAATGCTAGGAATAAAACTGTATTAACAAAAAGACAAGCTAAAAATGAGTTATTGCCGTTTATCATGAATCTGTCATCAGGTACTGTCAGCAGGTACTGAGATACTGAACAATGATCCCATGCAGCAGAGCCCAAGCTCCATCTTAACATTTCCCAGTTTGTGGAAGAACTGAACTGGCCCACAACAACACACAATGAGTAGGCACTTAAAGAAACACATTTTTTATCTGCAGTCAAGGGATCGACACAATGCTTGGATTTCACGTGAACACAGAACACTAGTCACATAATATTCCCATGCAGGTTAAGTGGTGATGGAGACACAAACACGTGGAATTTTTGTCATAAACCACTATAAACTTTGTTTGATTTTACCTTTCTTGAAGGTCTTGTTAATACTAGTTTGCCCCTCAGCAAAGCTTTTATCTCCTTCAACATAAGGGAAAACTCTGCCCTGGTGTACCCAATAGTAGTCATGTGAACCAAAGAAAAATACTGGGAAGTCCCCGATATCATGTTTGAGGCCCTGTATGTTGAGAGGCACAGACCTGGGATTGCAGATCTCTGCTGGCCACCACCTGCAGAGGAGGAGAAAAAAGAACAATATAAGTTCCCCACACCAGAGCTTCCCACTTGCCCTAATGGGATTGAGAAATAAAAGCCAGTTTTCCTTTCACAAGGAAATGAACTCCTTCCTCATGCAGCCACGGTTCCCTTTGGCAACACCTGGGAAGCTCCAGGCAAAAACACAAGTAAAGTTCTTGCTCCAAGTTCTGGAAAAGCTTTTTAAGAGCATCTGTGGCCTGTGAGTGGATTTCTGAGATGCCCTGCAAACACCTGTATTGCTGCAGGTGACTAAAGCAAACACCAGCAAGGACAGCTGGACTCCAAGCCAGCCCCTGCTCTGTGTGGTGATCACGCTCTACAGAGCAAAGGTAAGTGCAATCCCATGTCCATCCATCCCTGCCTGGGAACAGCAGGAGAATTGCATTTCAAAGGTGACATCCGTGTCTGACACACAGCAGATGGATTATTGTATTTCCAGTTCCTGCTCACGACGACTGAGCTGCTTTATTTCCTGCAATTCCAGAGTCCATTAAACACCCACAGCACTAAAACCCCCAAATGGTGAACTTGCCTGTAATTCCCAAGCTTGACCCAAACGATCTGCTTGTACCGCAGCTTCTTCCCAGCTTTACAGTCATTGCAATTCCAGCATCCCTCAGGCATTTCTATGCTGAGACACTCGGGGTGGAAGGAAGCTGGGCAGGACTCACAGCACAACAGTTTGCCACCTTGAAACAAAGAAGCCCTGCTTGGTTTGTAGAAGTCAGGATTTGCTCCCCCGGTGCACAGCAATCGACATTCACTTTAAATCATCCGCTCTACTTCCCCACTGCCCCACAGACAAATGGCAAAAGAGAGGGGTCAAGTCAAACCCAACAATGTTGGTTAAAAAAAGGACTGCAAAGGCAATTTGTGACTCTTAACTGCACCAAAGCACCCAAAAAAGCAGCTGAGGATTTCAAGATGAGGTGAGCTGGCAGGAGGAGCACCATCCCTGAGGTGCTTTTATTTCCAGCTTTTATTTCTTTGGGGATGGTCAAAACAACGACAAACCCCCGCGTTTTTAAGGAGTCCTTTTTCAATCAACATTGTTCTGAGCGAGTCCATAGCAATCATTGGTCAGCACCAACCCCACAGCCTATAGGTTGATCAATGCTTTTCTGCAGCAGGGACAGGAAAAAGGAATTGTAATATTGTGTCTATTCCACAAAAAGGGGTTTACCAGGACGAGCCCAGTATGTCAAGCAGAACGAGACACACACGAGTTGTCCCCATCCCAAAAGTTCCTGGTGCACAGAGGGAACCTCAGTGTGGGGAGTCACCTGAATTTCTGAGGTTTACACTTATTTGGGCAAAAGTTGTTTTGCCTGTCTCACATTTTGGCAGCTGTATTAGGTATGGAGAGCCACAGCACATCTCTAAGCCCTCAGCAAAGCAACTCATACAATATGCCTTGATACATTACATATAATATTTTATATATGTTAGTATATATATACACATATATACACATTTACACATTTTTGCAGATATATATATTTAAAAATTAACAAGTTTTTGTGCCCCAGATGGAAAATCTGGTAGAGACTTGAGGGTATTCAAAGCAATTTTCAATCACAATACCAAAAGAGGAGTGAATAGTCACTTTCAAACCTTTATCAGAAAATCTTGTCCACCTATAGACTTCCCAAAATATTGTAGCATTAACTGATCGTTGCATGTCACAATGAGCATTCCTTAAACAATCCAGTTGCATGACCAACACTGTATTTCCTCTGCTAAAACCAGTAAAATCCAGCCATATGGAGTCTCCAGAGCTCCCCAAACCCACAATGAAAATTTTAAAGTATTTTTTTTGCAAATGTAAGTTCAGAGGAAATACAGACAAATTACTGAAACATTATCTGAGATGGGAAAATGCCAAGAGATGCAAAAATCAAACAAAATCAAACACAAAACTGTCAGTGCTGAGCAAGAAAAAACCCAACATTGCTCTCGGGATGCATTAGGCAGATATGGCTCAAGCTAAGCACAGGGCTCAAAATAATTCTTGTTCTCAGGAATTACAGGACTACTGGAAGCCATCGCTCTAGAAATGCTCAAAACAACCTGCTTTGGGCTGGGAAATGGGGCACTGGCTGGGAACACCCTCAGGGAACCAAATTTCTGTGGGGAATTTGGGTGCTGGAGGTGGGACACGAGGCCCAGGGACTAGAGGGGACACACACAGGTCAAACCTGACTGCCTTCTCCCTCTGCGTGGACACAGCACCCTCCCTTATCCCACCCCAAATGTCCTCTCCTCTCTCAGGCTCTGCACAAGACCCGAAACAGCACATCCCTCCTCTTCTTCCACATGTCAAATCAATTTAAGAAGTGGCTTTACATCATCCAGGCAAACACTGAACTGCAACAGTATCGAGATCCATTTGCCTCCTCTTCACATTGCTGTGCAAAAGCAAACACCAGCTCCCTGCAGCTGGAACAGCCCAGGCCACAAACAGAGTGACTGAACCTCTTCCAGCGAGAATTTAGTGACAGCAATTATTTTAAGCCCTTTTGTAATTTAAAAAAAAAAAAAAAAAAAAAAAAAAAAAAAAAAAAAAAAAAAAAAAAAAAAAAAAAAAAAAAAAAAAAAAAAAAAAAAAAAAAAAAAAAAAAAAAAAAAAAAAAAAAAAAAAAAAAAAAAAAAAAAAAAAAAGAAGAAAAAAAAAAAATTGCCAACATGAACACAGGCTCACAATAACCATGAGTGAAGGTCACTGAAAGCAGTCAGTGTGGGGACAAGCAGACATTTCTCCGTTGATTTAGAGAGAAAAAAATAGAAAAAGCAAAAGTAAATAAAAGAGAAAGAAACTATTTTGGTTACCTTTCTCACATTTCTTTTTGGAAGCTGACGAAGGAGGAGGAATCATAGGTAATTTCATCAACTCAGCACGATTTGACTCATTCAGTAGGTAGTGGGACTTATAGGCATAGGAACTGAACAGGGGGTCTGAATGGTCCTGCACTACCAGCCCTATACGAAACAAACAGAAAGAGATGAGTTGCAATGAAACTACCCATGATTCCATGAAGGAAAAACCAAATAAACCCAATGACCACCTCTAATGTGTATGTGGGAACGAAAAAAAGGATAAAATGAAGAAAAAGGAAAGTCTGACAGAAAGCTTCTTTGCTAACAAAGAGGCTGTGTTGGAGAGACTCAACTGGAAAGTCTTGTGCTGAAAAAGCTTCTTCTAAGTGGAATTTCAATTGTGCTTTTACCCCTCAACTGTGCATCTACAGGAAAGCACAAGAAAGGCACCAGTTTGGATCTGTGGGCTCCCCTCTCCCTCCCACCTGGCAAAAGGAAGCCACAGGCCTGTGCATTTCTCTGGCCTTCTCCACCAAGAAGAGTTTCTCCTGTTGCTCCAACGAGCCCAGGTGAGAGCACAGAGCTTCGGAGCAGAAGGGTTTGGCCAGAAGCTCATAGGAAGAGCAGAGCAACTGAGCCCCAGAAGAAGCAGGAAAGATGAGAGACCAAGAGAGCCCCCCTGGTTCTTTCCCTGGGGGACACAGAGCTGAGGGCTGTAAAGAAGCTCTTGGAACAGGGTGGCTAAAATAGTGCTGTAAGGAGAACGGTGTCAGCCCACCTGGACACACATCCTCAAGAGGATTCCCAGAACAAGGGTGACCTACACATGCAATCATGAACTGTGAGGTGCTTAAGGGAGGGCATTGCAGAAAGGTGGAGTCCTAAAATAGCTCATATTTCAAGTACTTCACCATAAGCAAGTTTCCTTATTTTATAGACTGCCTCACATCTACATTGCTCACTTCAGTAGCTGCACCTAAATACAAACTCCCTTGTTCTGAGAGCAACTAACATCAATTAAATCACCATTCTCACACAGAGATGCCCAAGGATTTCTAAAGCATTCAGTTCCCCATTTCTTTCTGAGTAGGTGCTCAGTGCTCCTGCCCCAGTTGCTGTTCTCAGCACTCTGGCTCCTGATTCCAGCTCGACCTGAACCAACCCCACAAGAATGTTCTGGAAGAACAAGCAGAGAGTTGCTGTAGGACACAGAGGATTCAGGCAGCAGCAGTGGTTTGTAAGTTCTGATAACTAAGGCTCAGGGAATGCACAGGACAGCAAAGCTGAAGGATGGACATTCATTTTACTCAGAATTCCATCTGATGTGGAATGCCCCACTGAGTCTCTGATGTGATTCACATCACACATATCCTGCCTAGGGGTGGCCCCAAAATGTTTAAGTAAGCCCACAAAAGGAGAAACACTGAAGCATCTTGCGAACATCCTTTTACACATTCCAAGCCTCACTGTTTCACTTTGAGCTTCTGGATTTTCAAAATATTGTATTTTAAATGCGATCCCTCATGATGGCTCCCAAGTTACTTGGAAATAAGAAAAGGGAAAGAAAGGAGGTAGAAAGGAAGTTATTCTGGCACCAGCTATCCCTTACCATTCAGAGATCTATAACTGCTATTCTGCCCTTGCAAAGACAGGGCAAACTAAACCTCCACCTGAACGAACACAAGCAAAAAATGACTTCAGGATCCAGCTCACTTTCACCTCCTTATTAGTGACTCTCAAAGCTGCTGAAGAGAATCTCCAATATAAACTGCTGTGATTCTGTAGAAGGTACATATTAGCACTATTTCAACACCTAAGGATGCCAGTACTTTTGGATTTTGAGACCGAAGCAACTGATGCGCCAATACTTTTTAAGCTGTTCTCTGGCAGAACCCTGGTGACTGAAGAGCCATAAAAGTAACAAGGGGGGAAAAAAAAAAGGAAAAAAGTAAAAGAGAAAAAAAAAAAAGAGAACTTTGGCATACAGGAAAGCCCAGCATGAAACTTGCTCATACAGTACTGCTAAAGGTTTTCTTTCAAAGTTCTCGAATGTGATGGCAGCTATAAATTAAAATGAATTTTTCTAGTTCATGAGTGAATCCTACCTTTTAGCCTTAGAAATTTAAACAGTTTTAAGTTTGTGAGTGGTGAAAGAATCCCCTTCTGCTTAATACAGTCATTAATAACCCAGCAGCCATTCTCAGTGCGCAATGGCTGGAACTGAGGAATTGGGATTCACTTTTCCCTACAGGCAAAACAAGTCAGCCCAAGTACCTATCACCGCTTCTGACTTTCAAATGTTATGGACAGCAAGTGGAATCTCATGAGAACTGTTGACCAAAATAAAATGAAATTAAATAAAATAAAAAAAATCCCAGCAGCATTTATCTCCAGTGAGCCCTAAGGGAGGAGTTCCTCATGAAGCACTTAAATTTTCATCACTAAACTGCACAAGTGACAACCGTAGAACAGGGAAAAACCAAGCGTCTCACCTCTTGCACAAACGAAACAAAAGCCTACATTTACAGCTGATGAGGAGTGAGTCCTTTTGGAATGGTTACTACAGATGAGGATGTGGGATGACACAAAGAGGCTGCCGGCGGCGATGCAGCCGTCTCCCGAGTGATAGGCCACGGGGCACCGCAAACACCTCGCCATGCGACCTGCGCGACAGAAACACGAGAGGCACCGCGTCAGCCGGGCACAGCCGCTGCAGACACCCAGCCCCAGCGAGCCCCACCCAGCACAGGGGCACCACAGGGCAGGATCCCCCACAGGCTGGGTCTGTTCCAGTTACTGGGGTAAAAAGAAACAGTTACATCTTTTTAATTATTTTTTTTTTTAATAAGTTTTACTAGTGTTAACCCTCAACTTGCACTTTAAAATCGTTAAGAAAAATTGTCATCATTCGAGAGTCTGTTTTTTTTTTTTTTTGTTTAAATATTTTGGCTCATTCCTAAAAGGATATTTTCCTCGGAAAATAATTGTTCTAAATGCCACTACAAACTGTCTTTAAAAACCAACATTCCTTGGCCTTCACACTACAAAGCCTTGGCTTCCATTAAACCCAGCACCACCAGCTGACAAGAGTGTGGATCCAGGTACACTCCACAGCAGTCTTGGGCTGCCAGCTGCTTCCCACCCAGAGAGGTATCAGTTAATGACCTTGCTGGGGAGGAAACCCTCGTTCCTTGCTGTGTTAGAGGGTGGGATTGGATCGACTGTTACTGTGGAGACACAGCTGAGCCTCCTCCCTGCTCGGAGCAGCTGCCCTCACCTTTGCTGGCTTTGTGCATGTCCTTGTCCATGGAGCAGGCAGTGCAGCAGTGCTGCGGGCACCGGAACCCCCGGGACTCAAACAGGGCCGTGGCAAACTTGCGGACACAGGACTCGTGGTAGAACTTCCCGCAGGTGCTGACGGAGCAGCGCTTCACATCCTTGCCAGGCAGCTTGCAGGAAAAGCACGTGTGTTCTCCTTGGAAAAGATGGAATAATGGAGAACAACTGTAATGGACAACTCTTTGAGGTACTGCATTGTTAAAAATATTCTGAAGCCAATGGAGTTACACTGGAGTGAGCAATGCAGGCTCCTTCCCTCCCAGCAGGGCACACTGTGATCCACAGTAACTATGGACTTGCTGCTCACACTAAAGTCTCTTATTCCAAGTAAAACTCTAAGCAATTTATTACTTTTTTCTTATGAGGTACTCGCTAAGCAGACAATGAGAACCTGTCCTCAGAGGTTAAAAAAGTACTGGAATAACCCAAACTTACTCCCAAACCCTTGGAACACACGGCCCTGCTCTGACCAGAACACGGCTCCCGAGCAAAGACGGAAATCCCTCCCAGTTTTCCAGGCACTGGAACACACTCACCGTTCTTACACTCGGCGCAGATGAACTTCTCCTCGGGCACAGCCTTCAGGCCGAGGCACTCCAGGTGGAACACGCTGCAGCACTCGCCCTCGCAGGCCAGCAGCGACTCGCCGTAGCTCTCGCAGATCTGGAACAGGCAGAGAGCTCAGCAGGGAACGGGGTACCTGACACCCTGAAATGCCAGTGGCTGCCAGGTGTCAACACAGGAACGGGCTGGAAATCGCTCCAGAGCTACGGTAAGTCTCTGGGTTGAGGACAATCCCAGCACTCCCAGCACATCCCTTGCCCTGGGAACAGTGCGAGCCCGGACAGAGACAGGAGAGGCATTACAGGATCCACCCACACTCCTTCATTTTTCAGGGAGCAAGCTGCTCTTGCTCTTCCTACTGATCAGGAAACTGGCCAGAAGTTTCCAGGATTTTCTCTTGGAAAATCCTCGCTCTGCCCTATCCTGAATGACCACGTGAAATCTTCAAATGGAGCAGAAAATGGCATCTACTTTTTCTACAGATGCCGGCAGGTCTGGATTAGACACCACTTTGCAACTTCTGAGCTTCCTGGCACGCAGGAAGGCTTAGGAATAATTTAATGATCACTTCATATGAATGATTTTCAGAGCATAAACCCTAAAATCCTGTATATTCTATCTGAGAGACATGGTTATGAGACACAGTTAAAACAAACAAGTGTAATATGAAAACAGAAAAGGGGGATGCATATTTAGTATCCATCACTTCCCAGTACCACCAGTTACCTGACAAACAGTGTCTTTTTTACTTGTCCCAGTTCCTCTCCTGGATAAGCTGGAGTCCACTGACTGCACATCCGAGGCGTCGGCGTCGGCAGCGGCTGACGGGCTGTCCGAGCGCTTCCCAAAACTGCCCTACAAAGAGGGAAAGTCCATGGCACTCAAACCAGACACTTCCAAAGCACAACCACACTGGGAAAAGTATTTCTGTCCTTGTGGCTAAGAGAACCATTTGATATGTCAAGAGACACAGGGGTCCTGGAAAGGTGCTGAACTTCACCAGAGTGATTCAAATGCTGCCTCCTGATACATTTCACCTGCACAAGCAAAACACCATAAAGAGCTCTCTTACTTTTCCAGACCTCCCCTTGGGTTTTTACCAGGCACAGCAGATTCTCACAATTCCCAAAGAATCTCCAACCTTCCACAGAGCAAATAATGATCTAAAACAATGCTCTGCCAGGCAAAGTAGTAGGAAAAGTTGCAAATAAAGGTTGTATTTTTGTATCAGCCCAACGGAGGGGATTAGAAGGAAACAGACCTGGCTTTATGCTTTTGGATAATAAAAGACACAAAATCTGTAGAGACGTATTCACATATTCAGGATTAATTAACTGCAGAGCCTGTTATACACTGACAGCTTAATCAGGACCCTGTGAGAACAAACACATCTTTACCTGTAAATCATTGAGTCCCCTGGAATCGGAGTCAGACGTGTCCCTGTAGGCAGAGCTGGTCAGTTCCATGTCTGTGGACGCACGACTTCTCTTCTTTAAGGGCTTACAGGAGTCCGAAATCTCGCTGGCACCTTAACACAACACACTGAAATTAGTTTTAATATACGTTCTCAACTTTTTGCTTAAAATTAACAAAGGAAAAAGAAAGATTGAGAGCCTGGAATGCATTATTTGCCTTCATTTTCAGTTTGCAATTTTGTTAGTAATTTAATTCTCCCTGAAAAGTTCATTAACTGAAAACCACCTTAGGCAGAGCTTTTGACAAACTTCTGAACATGCTGACACGGTGGAGGAAGCTGCTAAACTGTCTCTAAAAGAGGATAAATCCTCAGGAGATTTTCCTCTTCATCATCCATCTTCAACTTTGGCTAAGCAAATACTTCTAAGAAATGTCCAGAAGCAGGATTTGGGTGCTTACAGCACATGAACAGACACCATCCTTCCCCCAGCAATGCACAAGTACCAGCAACAGAACCCCAAACACACCCCCTCACCAGAGAAGTCGAGCTCAGCACCCCAATGCTCAGCCCCACAGAGCATCAACGGTGCAGCTTACACAGAACAAAGCCTCTGCCCAAGGGTGAGGAGCCACAAAGTTCATTTCTGCCTGCAACTCACCTTTCTGCAATCCCGTCTTCACTGCTGCCAGTGGGACCGTTTCAACCTGTTTGAATAGGAAAATCCACAGTTAAAACCAGAGGAACGTTTGTCCCTAGGAGCAAAAAAGCAAACAGGTCAGTTCAAGGGGTTAGAACTGGGGTGGGAGCTGCCATCCCCTCCTCAGCCCGAGCCTCCACGTCCCGCTGGATTCCCTCCTGCCTAGGCTGGTGCCCGGAGCCACGGCAGCCACAGGTCACTAGCCAGGTCCTGTGGCTCTCTCCCTTTGGGCACGAAGGTGACAGGAACGCTGTATCCGTGTCCAGCAGGCAGGAGCGGGGCCTTTGGGCAGCCAGGCCTGGTGCTCTGATAACCCCAGGGCCGTGTGAGCACAGGTTCCCCTGGCTGGGTGGCACTGTGGGACAGTGCAGGGCCGTTCCCACCAGCACTCCCTGGAGCTCCTGCAGCCCCTTCTCCCTGTCTAGAGCGCTGCACGGGCCCGGCCGGGTGCAGGGCTCTACACAGCTGGAGCTCGAGGGCACAAACACCTCAACACACAACTGGACAAGTTTACAATCTCGCAAAAGCACCTCCAGTCCTCGACCCTACGGAGAAGGTTAGGAACTGTTCTGCCAACAAACATGGAAGACGTGGGAATTTGGTGACTGGATAATAATTACAGGAGAAAGCTGTTGCCTAAATCCTGGTTTTAAGGTTAAGAATTACAAGTTACTTCTTTGCAATGCGGTTACATATGCATGGAGAAACACGTTTAGTAAATATTTAAGGATTATTCTATAATTTTTTTAAAAAATATTTTATTTTGTTGTACAATAGGTAAAAACATACAATAGAAGGATTTGTATAGGATACATTTTGTAATACAAATATAAAATCTAAACAATCACTTTTATTTCTCCACTAGTCACTGTAACAGTAGCATCAACATTTTGTTTTTCCCATTAATTGTACTCGTTCCAGTTATAATTTTATACCAAGTTGTTGCAGACTAATTGGGGAATCAGTTGCAAGAAAACTTGAGTTTGGGTAACAAATATTGTTGCATAATTGTAAGAAGTTAGTAAAATTATTTTCTTTTAAATATAACTTAATACATTCAAGGTTTTGCGCATTACAGTGCCCCTGGGTTTCACTTTAGTCAGATACTTCTCCTGAGAAAAGCACTTTAATTAATGTCCACAGACTGAGTTAGCCAGGTCAGAGAAGCACACGAAGCTACCTGGGATCCATGAAGTTCATCTTGTTGGTTCTTATACCTTTGTTAAATTAAGAAACATTTACAAACATAAAATAACTCCTTTGAAAGGGGGAGGCTGCAACCCCTCGTGCCAAGAAGCTCCAGGGACCACAGCGGGTGTCTCACACCCAACGTTTAAACTGCTTTAAAGTTTCAGCAAGAAACTGTCTCGAGCTGGAGCACTCATTCCTTTGCTGCACACCAGGGCAGGAATGCTGAGGCATCAAAGGGAAAACAGCGGGGGGAAAAAAGCAGTTGGGTTCACTTTCAGTCTCTGAAGTGAAGGAAGTGCAAAACAAAGCGCAAGGGGCCAAGAATAAATTAAAGAGATAAAAACATTTTTCCCCTTCCCATATAAATCTTCATCCTGACTGTCCCTCTTTAAAAATTCTCACTGGGAGAAGCTAAACTATGAAACATTCATATAAAATTCTCGGCTTTCAGACAGAGAGCCCCTTGAAGAGCGAAAATCGACCATGTAAGGAGAAGAACCAACAACTTTGACAAACTTATTAAAAAGCGTATTCAGGTTTTAATATTTCTGTCCATCCACTGCACTCTCCTACTCACTCCCACACAGATTTTTTTATCTTCTTTTTTTTTTTTTTTTTTTTAAAGCAACAACATTTGTCTGTCTGATATCCAGGTTAAAGGAATGCCCTGTACATGTTAGAGCTATTTCAGGAAGAAAAGGTATATCCAGATCTGTTTTGCTGATGTCTGCCAACATGAAAGTCTGACTATTCATCTATAAAATCATTCTTAAAGTCCATTTTCAGAAGTGGTCAGATTAATCACTCTAACTTCATTTGAAAAACAAAACCTCAACAACAAAACCAGCAGCTAAATCAAGAGCCAAAGGAAGGAACCTGGTGGAAATTCCATCCAAGAGAAATCACTGAAACAAACCCATTTTGCTCTGAACAGAAATCTCAAAGGAAACATGGCAGGTTCGTTAGGAGTCATCCATCATTGCGTTCCCACTTCCATAGCCTGACTGATACTGAGAAGATGCCAGTAGCAGAGTCACAGCAATGGCATTGACAGGGGGATTTCATGGAGGATAGTCCAAACCGAAACCCGATGGGGAAAAATGGAGAAAAATAAAAAGGCACCAATATAAGCCACAACATTTATGAATACAATATATTTTAACTCTCTACATGGAGGAAGCCAACCTGCTCCTTTTTGATCTTCTTCTTTGGCACAACTTCGGTGGATTTCTCAGACTCTGAGCGGGTTCGAATCGATCTTCTCTGTTGCTTCTTTTCTACAGAACCTGAAGAAGGTAAAAAAGGTTTCCATTACATGATTCCTCATATTTCTGAGGTACAGCAAGTGTGCAACACCAAATCAACAGGTAAAGGAACGAAACCAAGACTCTGTCCTCTTTTGAATGTTTTATTTTTAAATTCAGTTCCAAGCTGTTGGCCAGCTGGTGCTGTGGGTGCAGACACACGTTCTGATTCCAGAGACAGATCAGCTTCAGAAAACAGACACCAGTAACAGAGCGGAACAAAAAGCTGGAATCCAGCTTAGGGCAAACAGATTTCCACAACACACCTCTCAGGCACAGTCTTCACTTGGTTAATTCTGAACCAAGCAGTCCATCTCTGGTGTTTTGGGAAGGTAGTCACAACCATCTCCTTGAATGAAAACAAACTAGAAATTTCAGAAGCAAAGCACAGCTTCAAGTCTTTGCCCAAAATGCCAGTTCCGTGCCCCCTCTGTGGGGCAATGGCCTCTGTTACACAGGAACTACAGCCAGCCCCCCACTGCAACACCTGCAGCCACACCAGACCTCAACGTTCACCTGGAGGCTTTGAGGCAAAGGAAAACTCAGTACAAACAGAAGCAGTGACCACGGTATGTTACTGTCATTAACGACCGTGAAAAATGAGGTTTTTAACATATTACCGTAGAGAACAAAGATGAATGAAGGTTACTGTGGTATTTCAACAGACGAAGCAGGAGCTGCTGGGTTTTTGGCAGCTGACTTTTTGTGCTCCAGCACCTTTGAAAAGGACACATCAAGAACCACACACACGACACTCAACACCACAGGCAGCTGTTGGAACAAGCACACACTTGGAGCTGAGAGAAAACTGGGACCTGAGGATTTACAATGAGCTGCTTGGGAAGCATCATCCTTGGTTTTATGTTTGGGGGGGTTCTCCTGAAGAAGACACAGCTGTGAAATACTCTGTATTCTTCCAAATAAAACTGGAAACTCTTGGGAGCAGGAATCAGCTGTGCCAGAGCTGTTAGGAGTTGTAAACCTGCCTGGTCTCGTCAGGAGATAAAGTATCTAGAGAGCTAGGCAGGCTTGAACCAGACTGAAAGACAGCCTTGCAAAAGGACTCCAGAGAAAAGAATGAATATTGCTCTTGATGCATGGGATGAGCATTTTTCTCGCAGCTGCATGGCTCTGGAGTACAGCAGTAACTAAACTACCCAGTTGGAAAAGTTATTGTGTTACAGTAATTGTATTTCTGAGGGGATAAATTGTTTTTCTTCAAGGGGAAAAAACTTTCAAAGCACACAAATTAATGATAGCAATTAGCTACTCATAATTTAGAAATTAATGACTCAGGTCAACACCCTTCCCGTTTGCCCACATGTAGCTTCTGGTTCCAATGAGCCCTATCCCTTCAGGGACTCCCACAGCTCCAGTGGGTCTCCACACCAGAGCTGGGAAACATCTTTTAGCACCTTCGTGTGTGGCCAAAATCCCCTGAAGCAGCTCCAGGTAAATTCGAGCAGGTGCAACCAAACAGTTCATTTAGCCAAGAACAGATTTTTCTCCCCTTTGCCACCTCACTGCAGCAAAGGAATTAAGATCGAGCCCTGGGCCCGAGAACTCCAGAACCAGCATGTCCAGTGTTGGCTGACACAGCACTGATCAGTGCAGTGGGCACTGTTCCTCTTCCCGCTCTCCAAGGATCCAGTCATCAGTTCCACAATGCTCCTGTTTTGATCCAGAGGTTCAGGACGGATGTTGGACCAGCCCTCTGCCTTGCTACAGACAAATCTAGCTGGGTGTCTGTGCAGACCAGAGGCACTGGGGATGCTCAGGGCTGCTCCCCTGGCAGCAGATTCCAAGCAACAGAACTATCTTCCCGGCACTATGGAATTCTGTGTATCTGACTGGAGGTTATCAATAAGGACTCCCAGAGTCAGTCTGGGAAATACTTTACCATAAAGGGATTCTGAAGTTCCAGTGACCTGGCATTTGAAAAAAGGACTTGGCAAGTTATGTTCCACGAGAGGGGACCAATAACTGGACTTTGGAAATGGCTTTGAGAGTGACTGTTTGGAGTGTGCACTGCAGGAAGGCTCAGGCACTTACAGGGTGTTAGCAGGTGGAGTGTCATGTATCCAAGAATCCTAAGAAAATGAAAAAAAGACAGGCTCAGAATTCTCACCCCCTGTGTCTGAGGAGCCTTTGGGAAGGTGAAGCCTTTAGATGCCAGGAGAGAGAAGCAGAACAGTGATGGCCTCTCTTGCTGCAAGGCAGTTAGAGTAGCCACAGCAACTGTAGCTGGAAAGAACCACCGCTGTCAACAACAGCAAGGGAAACTCCAGTCACCCAGGAAATCTGGAGTACTCAGCCTGTGCAGCCCCGAACAGTCCGTAAAGCAGTGCCTATCAAACAGCCCTGCCTAAAAACTACACACAGACAGGACCTGAAGCGTGTTTGCAGAGGACTCATGGACACAAACCACTGAGGTTTCTGACTCCAGATCTCATTTATTTCATGTTTGGAAAGGGAGGAATAACCAAACAGACGGATAGTTAAAGCAGAAGTGACACCTGGCAACATTATGAGATTCAAATAGCTCATTCCAGGCTTTCCCTTTTCAGGCCCAAGTTCCATGACTTGCTTCAGTGGTTCTTCTCCCTCGGAGCTGATACTTCAGAACTCAGTGCTTTACGATGGGGCCCCTGAGATGCCTTCAGAGGGCAAGCACTGCCTCATTTGGCTGATGGAGTTAGTTGAAGCAGTTTTAAAGAAATCCCTGTCCTTGAACAGGTCATGCAGGAACTCAACCACAAAGCCTAGGGAGCCCCATCCTGAATCAGCCATTCCCTACTGAACTGTGCCACTTCCCGAGTCTCTTCCTTTGATCCCAGCTCTTGTACTTGACATTTGGTGCCACAAGCCATGGCAATGCCCTGCTAACACACATCCACTGTGTTGTCTTCTAAACCAACTCGCCATCTGCTCTGCACAGGACATCCATCCTCGAGTGTGTTGACTCAGACTGTAAGTTGCAGACACAAAGTTCAGAGGCCAAACCACCAATCCCACCCCACAGCCGTGCTGTGTGTGCTGGGCTCACCGCCTGTGACATTAGCCATGCCCGTTACAACTACTGTGTAAACAGAAAGACATTAATTATAATTTTTAAGTAAGGAGAAAATGCTGAATTTCAACGCTGAGGGCTCAGGTTCAGACCGGCACTCTGCAGTTTCCCTACCTGCTGACCCAGAAGTTGTCTCAGGAGAGGATGCATTTTGCACTGCTGCTTTTTCACTTCTCTGAGCTGATGAAGAATTGAGTTTCTCTTGTCCTTTGACGCTTATTTCTGTTTTGTTACCAACTCCCTTGAAAAGAAAAAAGGAAAAGATTGTCTTCCCCTGTGTGTTGCTACCAGATAACAGATCTGCCCTTGAATCTCAGAACAGGAACAATCAATGCTCTCCAGCCCAACACATACACAGGATAAATCTACTACGGAGTCACCTCCCTGCAGAACTTTCCCCCCCTCTCGATCTCCCTTTACACACAAGGAAAAAAAAAAATTCCAGTGACTTTTCTAAACATTACCTTCTCTACAGGGCTTAGGATGAAATAAACACTCTCCAGGTAGAGAGGCAGAAGAAGGAGGCAGAGAAATAGTCCTAAGCCTTTTCCTTACACTGACTGTGGGAAGCTGCTGTGCACCTGAAGGAAGCTCAGAGGCAGAACTCGATTTAAAAGTCTGTTACACAGAATGTAGTTATCACTTTTTAGTACATTATTAACAGTTTTGTCATCTTATCTGTTTCCCACAAAACCACTGATTTTAAGACTTACAGAGAATTTCTGGATTATTTCAACTAGGAAGCTGGAGTGAAACAGCTTTAATAAATTTCTGTGTGTTATGAACAAAAATGTGACCATCTGTAGGGAGCTGCTCTGCCACCAGCAAAACAGTTACTGCCAGAGCTGCACTGAAAGTGGGGTTCAGTGCACTGAAAGGTTCAGCTGTCACATCTCTCCACTGAAAGGAACACGGATGGTGAAAGCTTGGTGGACACAGTTCCAGCTCCCCAGTAAGGCAGGCTCAGGACAATTCAGGAACAAAAGGGGGTCACTGCACCAACCACGTACCTTGGTGGAATAAACAAACTGATCGATGAGTTTTCCATCCCCAGCAGCATTCTGAAGGGCAAAAACCTGTTCAATTTTAACAACCGGAGACATGTTACATTTCTGCAGATCCAGGTTGTGCATGGTTATTGACGCTGGCAGGGATTTCCTAGCGGCAGCTGTCTTCCACGCGATTTTCACGGGAGGTGCCTCCTCCTCCTCCACGCTGGACTGCCTCCTCTGGCCCTGCCTCCGTGCCTCAGCGTTGGAAGGGGACGATCCTGCCCCTGTGCTGGCGTGTTCCGGCTGCGTGCTCAGCGTGGGCTTCGGCCGCCGGTTCTTCTTGGCCTCCGCTTTGGGGGCAGCAGTCTTTTTGGCCTTGGCCAAAGCCTCCTCTGGCTCTTGGTCTATGTAAATGAAGGTGTACTGTTCTATCCTCTCCTCCCGGGTCATCTTCAGTGCCTTCTCAGCGTGGGCAATGCCAATGTCCCACTGAGCTCGCTCCCTCTGCGGCCTGGGCTTGCGGATCTTAAGGGACAGAGACAAGCAGTTGATTACACTTAAGACTTCGCCACTACAGCACTCAAAACGCAGTCCTGAGGGTCTTTGCAACTGCCAGGCAGCAGGTTGGAGTTTGCTCTCTATTTGCTGGGTATTTTTTGACAGATGGACACTGAATTCCCTGCTCAGAGTATAAGCAGACACTCAAGCTGGATCATAAGACCATCACAATTAAGTGTCTGCCCTGAGTTACGGCTTCACTAAAGCCAACACAGGCAGTATTCCATCCATAATTCCATTATGAGACAGAATTTATCCTACCTTAGCCACTTTTTAAATCCTCCTTACCCTTCTATAAACATTCTTTTTTTTTCCACATCAGTATTTTGATCAGCATAAATACTGACTGTAGTAGTTCATCTACACAGTAAGTAATTCCTGTAGCTAACACTTCCTTTCCAATACAACAGTAGGAAAGGAACATATCTGCCAGTATTAGGGGTTGGAATAATGTCCTTAAAAATGCATTTTCCAAAGAACAGGCTAATAATGAACACACAAGGCCCTGTTTTTATTTAAAATGCTAATATGGATGTAAGATTATCTCCAATGCTCCACGAGGAGCCAACAAAGCAGGTTCAGCTCTCAGCCTTTTCACATGAAAGTCACAAGAGTATGGAAACATTTTCATGATCTTTGTGAGAAACACTCCTGGCAGTGACACGCAGCCAGCCCTTCTCAGGGTAAAGCACTGCAGAGTTCCAGACCTGCAGATGACAGATGACTCCCCACAGCCAGTGCCCCCCATACCTTCTGCTTCTCGGAGTGGTTGCTGGCTTGCTTGGCAGCCTCTGCCAGTAACTGCTCGTACTGTTTGTGCCCCTGGTACTCCCGGACGCGCTTCTCGTGCACCCAGGCCCGCTCTGGCTGGTTGCTGAAGAACTGGACGTGGTATTCCCGGGCACCTGAAAGGGAAAACACCCATCAGCGCTTGTGTCAACACTGCTCTGCTTGTTCAGCTTGAGCTTTTCTCCCCACCACGGCTCCGCTCCTGCTGGCGGAAATACCTGGCTGGAGTGCAGAAATACCACGGGTCTGGATCCAGAACAGTTTAGGGTGGAAGATCAGCAAGCCCTGCCCTCACTGAACACTCTCATACTGACTTGAGACAAGCAGAAGCACCCGTGCACAAGCCCAGTGCGCAGAGGCTGCTCTGCAAAGGTGATTTACCAGGTGTTAGTTCTGGGCCCGTCAGGACTGTCCTGTTCAGCACACGCAGAAGTAACCCAGCAAAGCAAAGATACTTTTAACAAAGGAACAGCTACAGACACAGGACACGCTGTAGCAAAGACCTTCCTCCCTTACCTCTTGTATTTATTTTGGTATGCACGTCAAGCTGGGGATCACATGACACCATGCAAGGCCACCACGGGTAGGTCCCCACCTTGGACCAAACCAGATCGCCAACCTGGAACTTGACGTCATGGGGGGCTTGTGTGGGAAGGGACGGCAAGAGCTGCTGGACCTGCAGGGGAAACACCAGATTAATCCACAGGAGGGGACTCAGAGCACTCAGAGATGCACACACCATCTACTGGGACCTGCTGTTGTTCTCCCAGGTATCCCTGGGGTTCGATAATCCAACACAAGAGAAACATTCCTTAGACACATGACAGAAAGGAGCTGCACACAGCTGGGATTTACACAACACAGTCACTGACAAACCAAGACACAAAAGAGTAGCCCTCACCCCTACCCCAAAAACATTTCTACTTCCCAAACTGATTAAAAATGTTGCTTTTGAGATAAAATGAAGCAATAAATCCAGTACAAGAGATGCATTAACGCAGCAACGATTAGTAAGAGTTTCAAAGAAATGGCAAATGATTTATCACACAAATTAAGGGTTCAGTGGAATAAATAGTCCAAAAATAGTAACATTCTCTAAGTTCCAGAAGTGTTAATTGGTGTATGTACTAACCGGGGCTTCCTCCAGCACGGCTTCTTCTCTTGGTCTCTCTGAGAGTGTGCTAAGCCTCTCGTTTGGTCTCTAGGAAAGGGGTAACAACAGAGGGGAAAAAGGAAAACACAAACATAGTGAGGGGACAGTGAAACAACACTAGATAGTAGTGAAAAGAATAACTCGCTGAGAGAAAGGCAACCATGAACCCAGAAAACATGAACATGGCGATTCCTTGTGCCCAGTGCAAAACACAGGAACATCACAGTCCAAAAATACCTGTTTTCCCCTGCACTATTTACATAAAATCACACCTGCACAAAACAATGCTCTCCTCTAACAGGTGACAGAAGAACACACACTCAGGGACAGCAAATACAAATAATTCTCCACCTAAAATAATACACAGCTTCAAAAAAACCAGAGAACTACACGTGAGGGTATCCACAGTAATGTGGTGAGTCCCACATAAAACAACCAAAGTTGTACCAGAAGCTGTTTGCTCCTGTGAAGATGATCCCAAGTCACAAGTCTCACACCATTAACCCTAAAGGTGACAAAGGTTACACGAAGATGAAGTCATGCAGTGGAAAGCAAAATGGTGGGAGGACGGACCTGAGACTGCCCCAGCCAACTCATACCGAAAACCACCAGCACAAAACCCTGTTCCTGTCACAGCACTCTGTGTCTGAAACAGGGGTGGGTACCATGAAACGTTTATTGCAACACCATCTTTGGAAAGGGAAATGGAGGCCACAAGGAGGACAAAAGCAAGACCAAGATTTCTGCTAAATTCTGGATGACACAATTGACTAGGAACTTGGAATTTCAGAGAAAAGATTTTAGTTCAATCTGAGAAAGATGGAAGATTCCATTCTTGTGGTGAGCAGGTAACAGCAGCCAAACGGAGGGACAGGCACAGCTGAAGCATCAGGAGCAGAATGAGATTTCCTGGTAACAGGGGGGACAAACTGGTAAATTCAAACTGACAGCCTGATGTGGGGTGACAGAGTCTGGAGGAGAGGCCAGAAAGCAAGTGCAGCCCAAGCATGAGGGAGATGCCACTTGGGAAGTGTCTCCTGGCAGCAGCTGCCAGTGGGACACGGCAGCTCCTACAGTCACCTCACAGGGGCTCCAATAGCATCTCCAAGAGCAAAAAAATCCTGCCCCAGTGCGGCCATGGATGGCTTGGATTTTAAGTGGACAGTCCATTTCAAGTTTGAATTATAATGACTGAGCTTCATTAGTCAACTGTGATACTCAAATGTGGCAGATGCTCAAAATCTCAACACATCACCAACCTGGTGTCTGAGAGAATCCAACTCCCAGGAGGGAGGTGGAACAGTTATAAACTTGTAAATACTCCTGGTGAGGGTGTGGATGTGAAACCAGCCCATCTTCCAATGAAAACACCACCACCACTATCACTCCATCAAGCACAGGACCCGCTCTACCAGATCAGAGCCCTGATCCCTGCAGGACAGGATCTCCTCCCAAACCTCCCGAAAGCAACAAGCACCAAGGGCTTTCACAGACCTTACAAGGAACTCAGCTCCGTTCTGTAACAGCTCAGTCCAGCCTGTGCTGGGCAATTTCTGTCCTGGCCAGATACAGCAACTTCCCCATTCCTGGCACTCGCCAGCCTCTCTGCCACCCATCCCCTCAAACTGGGAAAGGCAGAAACCAGCACCACAGAGTGGGCAGGAACAAGCAAGAGAAAAGGAAAAGTACCAAAGCAGCTTATGAAACTGAAAGAGAAAGAATGAGAGATCAGGGAAGTGAGTCCTGTCTTTGTTTCCTGGAATCTCAGTGAGCACACCAGATGTACATCCCCTGGGTATGAACAACAAGGTATAAAACCTGACAGAAACAGGAACAGACAGTAATACTAAATCTCCCCAAAGTTTGCTGAGTCAGCTGGCACTTCTCATTCCCCTGTTGTTCTAGAATGCTCATTTTTACTGGTTCTGCCTATGCTACAAAGCTCTTCCTTTTGTGTATCACAATATTTAGAACACCTTTCAAAGATTAATTAAATGTTACAGTGCTGAATACTCCAAGTAACCTGACTTTCCACTGAATAATCCAGCACTATTTTGAGAGGCAATTTTAGGAACATGTGTGCTTTTGTCCCACAGCTCCGTCTTCAACACTGGCCAGAGCACAGCAAACTCTAAACATGCTAAAACATTAAATAATATTTAGAAAATAATAGGTAGCTTTTTCTAACATTTATTTTTTCCTATGCAGTCTTTTCACCAACACTGTGTTGTCCTACAGACACAGCTCCTGGCAGCCTCGTCCCAGGGATCTGCCGAGTAAGGAGAGCCTCAGGACCCAGTGTGCACCCAGCCAGAACCAGGACAAACCCTGCCGGACTCCAGCAGCACCACCAGCAGCACAGATGGCTGAAATGAGCATTCCACTTACATTTTGCTCCTCTGGTTCTAATTTTGGAATTTTGTGCGACTTGCGCTCTTCCGAGCGGGAAGAGTCGTGCTTGCTACTTTTTTTCCTTTTCTCCTTCCTCCCCTCGTGCTTCGCCTTAGCGTACTCCCTGGCCTGGACTTCATTCAACAGGTCCCCGCACAGGGAGGACTCAAACAATTCCCTGCCGTTCTGGATAGTTTTGGTTATTTTGAGTTTGATCTCTGGTGAGCCAGTCTTCTTTGGAATCCCCACTTGCGGAGCCGAGGCGGGGGGCGGAGGTGGCGGCTGGGGAGGGGAGGGTTTCTCCAGAACTTCGTGCGGCCTCGCGTTAGAGTTCTCCATTTGGTAATACTCCGGGGGACTGAAGGTCCTGACCGACCCAAAGCCGTTGGCCGAGCCGTTGGGATACTGAGCGTACGCCTGGTATTTGGCCTGGGGTTCGTACATGCCGATGGCCGGGGGGTACCCGTTGGTGATGGGGGGCAGCTCCTCCGCCGTGGGGTACTGGAAGCTTTGCTGCAGCGCCGGCTCGTACGGCGTCCGGCCCCCATCCTCAGCAATGTCACTGCTGCCATCAAAGGCCTCCTCTTGGCGGATGTTGGCGGAGTCAATGAGTTGAGGTGGTTGCTGAATTGTGTTTCCCATGATCCCTTGCATGAAAGAGAAAGAGAAATCCATTGTTCTGCTCCAGCATCCTTAGCTTTCCCTTTTTCTCATAGGGCCTAGAGGCAGGGGAAGGGAAATAAGAAGTCAGTGTAAGTTAAAAAACGATAATTAAGCAAATTAAACTCTTGAAGAAAAAAAGGGATCTTAAGACCAATTTCCCGCTCTCCATTCAGCAGCCACTCTTGAAGGGACTTAGAAGACTGGTGTTACTGAGCTTTTAGAAAGGGTTACTGGCACATCTTTCACGTGACCACTTTCTTCCTTTCCAAGACATTTAATGAAATATCAGAAGCAGCTATGAATGCTTAAAAACTGAGCCCAAGTGTTACAAAGCCAGAGTAATGGTGCCAAAATCCCACGGCCCTCTACGGCCCTCCCAGCTCTGCACTAGGAAGGGTTACTTCAACTGGACAGCACTTTCACCCTCTGGCACACAGATGAATCAGAGCTCTCCTGACAACACAGTCACTGCAAACTGCACGAGCCAGAAACACCACAGAAAGACCCTCAAACAACAGAGAAACCTCTCTGCTTCCTCCCTCCCCGCCTCATTGCCAAAATTTGAGGCATAAGCAGCCCTTAGGCCAGGAGGACCTGAGCCATGGGCTGCTCTGACAACGGCACGACGAGAGCAAGTGGGTCACTCCACCTCAGCTGCTGGAAAGCCCATTCATGTCCCAACCTCCTCCCTCCCCAGAAAACCAGAGTAGAATCTGCACTCACTGGCTCTTAGCAGCTATTGTGAGGAGGGTTATTCTTGTCTCCCTCCCACCTTATTTTAATATAAAGCACTATGTGGTTCTGAGCATCAGCAGATCTCCAAACCCTGAGGTTAATCATGGAATAAGATTCCAGGTGAGCACTAGAATACACATCTTCAGCATTTCAGTGCATATTAAACCACCAAAATCCAACTAAATCAAAGTTAGACTTCCAAAACTCAACTGCTGGCTCGGAGAAGGTGTTGGCATTCAGCTAAAGCAGCTCAATGTTCAACAGTGACCTGACCTGCAGGTAAGAAACACCTGTTTGCTTCCCACAAAGTCAGTTCAGCCCTTCCAAAGCAAACACAGCCCCATGGTATTTGTTCTGCCTGCGTGGGCACACGGGGAGGGTTACTGTGCCCTTTTGGTTTGGGTCTGAAACGACATTAATTCTCCCAGAGACACTTCTTCTAACAGGAATCTTCACAAATCCCTGCCCACGTGGAATTCTCACCCTCCCAAAGCTACGCATCTCAATACCTTAGCTAAGAGCTTTCCACACACAGGGAACTTCCCTCCTCAGAGACTGAAAAAAGCAACTGAAATTATAACAGGAACGAGAACTTGATCAGATTTGTGGGCCTGCACACTCAGATTAAATTGATGTTTATGTTCACCTTCACTGCCCTGGGATACCAACGCAGGGCTCATCTGTCACTTCATTTGTAATTAAGATGCTCACACCAAAGCACAATGACACATAACAGCACAAGGCTCTGCAGAATTCCCCTCACTGCAGGAACTTTTAAACCTCGGGGCTGTGAAAGCATTCCCTCCTCCACAGCTCTGTACAGCAGCCACCAAACCAACACAACTGTCACTGTCAGGGGACGTGGATCTCAGGGGCAGCACGTGGGAATGCACAGCAAGGTCAAAAACCCCAAACCACGCCTGTTCTGGGAAGAGGAAGTGGAACTGTTTGTACTATTTACCACCAAATTGTTGCTTTGCATCTGCCAAACCAAAGAGCAAACAGCAGATTTCCCACCGGGCTTTATTTTTAACCAAACCCAGGTTCAATCTTGTTTCATTTCTGAAATCTTGTCCCGAGAAGCTGTGACAGCGCTCCAGGCTGTGCCACTCAGCCTTGGGGCCAGTCTGTGCTGCACAGCTGGGACGCCCAGGCCCCAATTTGTGCCTCAGTAACTCGGTGCAGGCTGAGAACCAGGCCCACAGCTCCACTGACCTGCTCTCTGCAGCCCCAAGGCACCCGAGGCCACTCTCCTCCCACAGCTCTGACATCACCCAGAGCTCCTTCCTGCCCAGTCTCTCGCTGTCATCACTGTTAGCACACCCAGACTTTCCCACCCTGCTGCCTGCCCAAAACTCCCCATCAGTGGATCAGTTCCCAGATGCTGCCCAGGGAAGTGGCATCTGGGCAGCGTCAGTGAGAGGACAGGCCCTGGAACCACCCAAATAACAGCACACAGGGAGCAATCCTGAGCTCACAGCACTCTCACCATCCAAAGCTAAGGGAGGATTGCTTTGTAAAATCCCTCCCAAGCGTTAATGCAGAGAACACCCCACTGTCACTGGAGAGCTGTCCCTGCAGCAGAGACACGGCACCCAAACCACAGGGGAATGGGATTTCCAGCTGATCTTGCACAAAGGTATTCCAGAATAAATTCTTCTCACTACACCAGCAATTACTCTATTAACCCACAGCATCAGCCTCCTGTGAGCTGTACAATTTGGCTTCCAAACATGACCCCCAACAGATCCTGCACTGATACAACACTGGAGCTCGACAGATAAAGCAACAATTTCATCATTTCCAGGTTTATAGGAAATGGACACTTCACAGTAGCTGGAAACAACACGAAATCAACAACAAAACAACTTGAAATCAACACCTTCAAAGCTGCAATGGAATTTCTTAATGAGAGAAAGAGCTTCCTCTTTAAAACCCGTCTCCTTTTCCAGGGCTGACATGGACACAAGACTGTTTATAAACACTCGGGCTCTACACAGGGACATTGCTTCAGCAAATATTTTCCTGTTGCCCACTCACAACTCAAAGTATCAAAGGAAAAGGCAAATGAAATAAAACATATAAGCAGTACAGGATGAGGCAGGTCGGCCCAGCAGAGCTCTTCCTTAGGTGAACACTGCTGGTTTCAGTTCCCATTCTGAGCTTTTGAGCTCGACTGAGCAGAACTCGAGAAGTCAGTTCCACCTCCAACAGTGAGTGCTCAGTCACGGGAAGGTTTCACACAGGTTATGGATCCTCTGGGTCCACATTTTCACCAACAACTGCACTCATCTAAAGCAAGTTCTAGCATGAGAATGTTGCAACTTTGCTCTCAGAAAACAAACCTGTAGTTCTCCAGCCTCGCTCTCGTGCTGCAGGACACTAAATAACAACTGACCTCAGATTACTGAACAATTCCAGCCCCACATGATTGCAGCTTTTCTTCCTCCTAGAGAGGGAGTTCCACAGGTTTGGCTGAGGCTGTTCGTGGCCACAACAGGGAGAGACACAGCAGCTACTGATAAAAGTCCAGTACCCACATATTTTAAACCATTTTTCACCCTTTCCTGTTGACAATCCTGGCGTGGGGTTTACCCAGTCAGAAGGAAGTGTTTTATAGATGGCAAGTGTGTGCTGTGAGGCAGGACCCGGCCTGTCAGCTCCCTGAGGAGCTGGGAGCTCTGCTGTGAGTCAGCCCTGTGTGCTCAGAGCACTGTCACTGCCTCGTCACCCTGAGCTGGGCTTTCTATCAACAGGCTCGAAAGCAGAAGTTCCGGGATGCCTTTATGTACAAACACCAACGCAGCTCCCGTCCACACAGACCTAAATCAGAGAGAGCCCAACCTCTGCTCACACCCTGCCATCCCTCCTTACCCTCCCCAGATGTTCACTGCGGTTTCCCTCAAGCACCCAATCCAGCAGCACCCAATCCATGCAGCAGCTGCTCAGTGGCTGCTCACTGCTGGAGGTGTTTGACAGACAGACAAACAGAGCTGCCTGGCTGGACAAGCCAGGCCGGGCAGATGTTTGAAGTGATGCAATCACTCCTGCCCTCTGAAAACCTTAAGCCTGCAGTTCACACACAGCCCCGAACCTTCCTTCTCCCCAGAGCTGAGCATTCCCACTGCTTCCAGTCACATCAAACACCACCCAGAGGGATGCTGTTATCACCTGGAACAGCATCCCGGGGTGCTGGAACTGTGTGAACTGCAGACCCAAATAAACAACTGTTCCTACTGATCCCTGGGCCCAGCCTGCACCATCTGCTTTGTCCCTCTCTGCTCTGCATGTCCTCAGCAAATCCCACAGGCAAAGCTCTATTTACACACGCTAAGACAACGCCAAGTTTTCACTCGCACAGGATTCCCTGACAGGGAACCTGCAGCCTGTGGATTTCTCCTGACTCCAGCTGGACTGAGCTGTCCCTCCTGGCAGACAGTGGAGGTGAATCAGAGGCCTCATGACAAACCTTAAAGCACGAGGTGAGGCTGCTTCCCTGTGCACCTTTGTGAAGGTGGTTTGTGTTTGGTTTCTGAATGCCAGAAGAAACAGTCACGTCTGTAACTGGGCTCGATAAGGCCACTTTGAACAAGTTTCCCACGGTGCCACAGAAAGAAACGATTTGGCCAGCAGAGAAAAGGGGGTTTGTCTGGAAAAGGAGCTTAGAGACTCGTCTGGTCTGAGAGCCGCGGGATTCAAACGGGAAACGTGGAGCAAAACCTTTGGTTCTTCAGGGAAAGTCGCGGGCTGAGACTGACATGAAACCACAGGCAGAGCTCGGGCAGCACCAAACACTGTAATGTCGTGGCAGGCTGTCACATACCACAGTCAGGGCAAGAACCACAACGTGTCTTGTGGGAATCACCCCAAACTCAGGCAAAGCTGCCCAACTGAAAAACGCAAAATAAATAAGTTTGTATTAAAACAAAACATACAGCCTTTGACTGTCATCCTCCGCTCTTACCCTGCACCTTCACAAGGCAGACACTCAGGTTTTGGATCAAAATCTTTTCAAGCAGTTCATTAAAACATTTAATAAAAAAAAAAATGTATCCACCAAAGCATTCACTGTTGCATCTCTACAAAAGGCCACTAAACAGTCATTAGAACAGGGTTCAATTTTTCCTTCAGCTATGATTACTGGCTACTTCATGTTGTCCTTTGGGTTGGTTGGCGTATACACAACTACGTTATCATTAAGATTTCTTTTAAAAACAAATTGCACTGAAACGAACGAGCGTTACTGACACCCAAACAGAAAGCGGAGCGAGACCACAACAAAGTGCAGCGCAACGCAACAGCACCGAAAAAAAACACCCCAGCCCAAAAACCCCACAACATTCGAGCAACAACAACAACAACAGCAAACCCGAGAACGGTAAAACCCTTTTTCTGGGGGGATGGGGGGAAGGGAGGTCACCGCTTGGGTGGAACGCCGAGTTTCTGCTCCGCAGGCGGGCAGCGCGGGGCCCACCCGGGGGGAAACGCGCGGGGGTCCCGGCCCTGCCCGAGGGTCCTGGCCCTGCGTGGGGGTCCCGGCCCTGCCCGGAGGGGCCGTGCCGTGCCCGGCCCGGCGCCGCTCCCGCTCCCGCAGTAACATGGCGGCCGCGGCCCCTCCGCCCCGGGGCCGCCGCGGGCCCGCGCTCACCTTCAGTCACTTCCATTCTCACGGCCCCGCCGCGTCCGCCCGGCCCCGCGCAGACAAAAGGCGGCGGCGGGGGCGGCGCGGGGCCTCCTCCTCCTCCTCCCGCCGCACCAGCGAAGGCCGCGGCGGAGCCCCGGCCTCGATTTCCGCGCCCCCGCCGCTGGCGCCGGGCTCCGCCCCGGGGGGGGAGGGAGGGAAGGAGGGAGGGAGGGAAGGCAGGCAGGCAGGCCGCCCGCCCCCAGCGCCCGGCGCGGCCGCGGGAGGCGCTGGCGGGGCCCGGCGGGTCGCGGCGAGGGCGGCGCTGGCGGCGGGGGGGCCGAGAGAGCGGCCGCTCCGGTGCGGCCCCGCCGAGCGCCTCCGCCTCCGCCCGCCCCCCGCCGCCGCCGCCGCCGCCGCACCGCGCCGCCGCGCCGCGCACGCGCCCCCCGCGGCACCCCATTGGCCGCTCCGGGCGGCGCCCGCCGCGGGGCACCACGGGAGGTGTAGTCCGAGGGGAAGGAGAGGGGTCTGGGTCTGGGTCTGGGTCTGGGCCCCTCGGGGCGGGAAACACAACCGGGGAGGGTCCCGCAGGGGTTGGAGGGTGGGAATGGCAGCCTCCACAGGAACAGGAGCGCTTCCCCTCACTCCCGCAGGGAAAACCCTCTTCTAGGCACAAAACTCTGAAGAACGTGTTTAAATCCAAGAGGCGTCCAGCAGCTCCCGGCCACCTCCCCCTGGAGTTACCCCCGGCCCTCCCAGGCTGAGCCCCCAGCACAGGGCTCGGTCACGGCCCGGTCGTCATCGTCCCCCGTGACGTCACGCGCTGCCCTCCGCCTCGCGATGGCGTCACGCACCGAATCCGTGACGTCACCGCCTGCCTTCTGATTGGCTGGCGCCGAGCGGGGGGGGCGTGGCGCGGCGCGATGGCGTGACCTGCGTGGGGAACCACAGAGAGTGGGGGGGTGACGCGACGGGCCAGAGCGGCGCGCGCGGGGCACGACGGGACGGGACCGGGGGGGGCCGGGAGGAGCGCGGTGAGGGAGACCGGGACCGGGATCGGCACCGGGATCACCGGGATCGGCACCGGGATCACCGGGATCGGCACTGGGCAGCAGCAGCGCGGCCCTCCCCGCTGCCGGCAGCGGGACGGGGATGGGTTCGGCCGGGCCCCGGCGACCCCCGCCGCACCCCGGGCGCTGCCGGGGGTGAGGGTCCCGCCGCCCCCGGTGCGTCCAGCGGAGCCATGGCCTGCGGCTGTCACACCCTCCTGGCCGTGGCCAGGGCCAGGTAAGCCCCGCAGCCCCTCCCGGAGCGGGGGGGTCTGGGCCCTGCGCTGGGCTGGGGGTGAAGATGTGGGGGTGTTTCTTGTTGTTTGCAGCTGGCACGTTTCATCCCTTCCCGTCGGTAAAAGGGCTCCCGGGAGGCACTGGGGGGGTCCATGGTTATTCTCCCCCAAGGGAAGGGTTGTTAGCACGGGAGGAGTTCTCAGTGTTTCACCCCTTGCTGAGGGATCAGAGTCTCGGCCACGGAATCAGTCTCACAAATGAACCTGGCGCTGAGAGCGTTGATTTGGGGGTGACGCCTCAGCTTCCCTGCGCTGTTCTCACGGAAACACCTCTCCAGTTTCAGGGGCTCCCATCTCCTCGCACCCCCCAGCCCTTCCTTCTCCCCGGCCCTCGCCCTCGTCCAGCTGGTGGATTCCCAGTTATCCTGGACTTCCAGAGACTCCCAGGCGCCTCCCTGGGCGCTCCGTGCCCGCCTGGGTGCTGCCCTGCCCCGCTCACCTGCCCACACCCTGCACACCTGCCCACGGCAGCAGCAGCTCCGAGGGGACCCTCCTGCGGGCCAGGGAGCCAAACCCACCCGAGCCCCGGCCAAACAGCTCGTGGGGGCTGCCACGGGCAAGAAGCCTCTGCGCCAGAGGGTCGTGGAGGAGCTGAAGCACTACTACAACGGGTTCCACCTCCTCTGGATCGACACCAAGGTGGCTGCCAGGATGGTGTGGAGGCTGCTCCACGGGCAGGTGCTCACCAGGAGGGAGAGGCGGAGGGTGAGTGCCACAGCACCCAGCTGAAGTGGTGCAGTAAGAGGCTTAGCCGCTCCTTTGGACACATTCTGTGTGTCTGGCTGAGTGATAATCTCAGGATAATCTCTGCTGTGCTCTTCTCTGGGCAGCTGCTGAGAACCTGTGCAGATCTCTTCCGGCTGGTTCCCTTCCTGGTGTTTGTCATTGTGCCCTTCATGGAATTCCTGTTGCCTGTGTTCCTGAAGCTCTTCCCTGAAATGCTGCCCTCAACGTTTGAGACGGAGTCAAAAAAGGTTTGTGTCCTGCCCGAGGCTGTGGGGTATGTGCACAGCTCCTCAGAACATCTGTGCAGCTGCACAGAGCTGCTCTTCCCTGGAAAGGAGGATCAGCCTCACCCACATGTCCGGGTCAGGCATTCCCAGCTTATTCCTGAGCTGAACAGCAGGGCTGGGCTGGGAGGTTGTGCTGTAGGGATCAGCAGGAATGTGCACAGCAATTCCATTTCCTACAGTAACCAAAGCCTGGTGCTTTCAGAACCAAAGTCTTATTGCATCTCTTTCCCAGAATCCCCTCCCACCTGTTTTCCAAATGGAATTTCTAATTATGCTTTATTTCCTGGGGTGAAGGAAGAAAAGCAGAGGAAGAAGCTGAATGCAAAGCTGGAGTTAGCAAAGTTCCTGCGGGAGACCATTGCAGAGATGGCCAAAAGGAACAAAGCAGCCACAGGACAAGGGAAACAGTTCTCCTCGTACCTGCACGAGGTAGGACAGGCCGTGCTGGGGGTGGCAGAGAACACAGGATTTGGACTGGGGCTGTGGAGAGGTTTGGCAGCACAGGGCTGTTACCTGGGGGCCTCCTGCAGGTACCAGCTGTCAGAGCTGTCAGAGCTGCACTCACAGGAATTCCCATCCTGGAACAGTGGAAGTTTCACCCTGTGAAACCTCTCCAGTGGCCACTGGAGAACAGTTTCACTTTGGCTTTTAACTGTATCACCCTGTTTCCATCAGAGGCGGGAATTCCAGTGTGAGAAGGGGGGAGAGGGCAGGGAAGGGAGAGGGTTCCCAAAGGGTGATCCTGCTGAGGTTTGGCTTTTGGCCCCTGGTTCAGATCCGTCACAGCGGCCACCGGCCCAGCACGCAGGAGATTGTCCGCTTCTCCAAGCTCTTCGAGGATGAGCTGACCCTGGAGCACCTGGAGAGGCCACAGCTGGTGGCTCTGTGCAAGCTGCTGGAGCTGCAGCCCATCGGCACCAACAACCTGCTCCGCTTCCAGCTGCTGCTCCGGCTCAGGACCATCAAGGCAGATGATGAGGTGGGCCTGGAACAGCACAGATGAGCTGCTTGGTGGAGTGTGTGCTCTCAGGCTCTGCCCTCTGAGCCACTGCTGTCCCCACACCGACCTCAGGGGGGAATTTGAATAGGAGTCAGATCCTCCCCGTGAGAGATCCCAGAAGAAAACAGAATGAGAGTTCTTCTCCCTGCCCCCTTGCAGCCTTTGGGGAACCACAGCAAAGGTGGCACTGCAGATACTGTCACTGTTTAAAACATTTCATTCTGGAGTCGTGCTAACTCGTAAAAAAAGGGAGGTTCCAATTCTGGGATGAATATTGCATGGGAGCAGCAGATTTTAAACATCTGAATTCAGTGGGAGTTTATGTTAGTGTACAAAGTGGCTGGATTTATTTAGCCTGGAGGGGGCCAAGGGAGAATCCCCTTGTGGTTTTCAGCTGCATAATGGGGTTATTTAGAAAATGGAACCAGACTTAGAGATGCAGAATGGAGGGATAACAGGTAATGGCCATAAGTTGCAGCAAGGAGAACTCCAACACGATAAGAAAAAAAATTAAAATCAGTGAGTAGGTAAAGAGTAAAACAAGTCACCTGGAGGCTGTGAAATCCCCATCCCTAGAGAGGCTCAAGGCACAGATGGAAAATGCTGAGCAGTTCTGAGCAGGAGCTTGGACTGGGGGCTCCCAGGAGTTCCCTTCAGGTTCGTCAGGGGCTGGGCTCAGCCTGTGCCAGGGTAGGAAGGTTCCTGTTCCTTGCAGATGATCGCCAAGGAAGGCGTCGGCGGGCTGAGCGTGCTGGAGCTGCAGAGCGCCTGCAGGGCCCGGGGGATGCGCTCCCTGGGCATCTCCGAGGAGCAGCTGAGGGAGCAGCTCGGGCAGGTGAGTGTGCCCTGGCCTGAGCTGGTGGGGAGTGAAATATGTTTTCAAGCTTCTAAAACAGCTAAGACTTCAGTACAGATTCTGCTGGTCTTTGTAAGCATCCAGACAGCTTGGAGACACTGCTGTGGGTGCTGCGTTTCCGGGAAGCTGTAGGTGATTCCACGTGCTTGGCTGTTTGCCAGTGGGGATGTTGGTACCTCCCCAGTACTGGAGACTTCCTTTCTAGTGTCTATTCCATACAGTATTCCTGACTCTTCAGAACCATTTCTTCTCATTGTGGTGAGCTAAAGCTCTATTAGCCAAACTCAAGGTTGCTTTAAGGACAAAGAGTGCTGCATAAATGAGTACCCACAAAGAGCCACATGAAATAACTTTTCCTTCTGTTTTCTTCTGACAGTGGCTGGATCTGCATTTAAAGGAGAACGTTCCCCCTTCTCTGCTCCTGCTTTCCCGTGCCTTGTACTTAGTAGACCTAAAGCCACAATGTGTTTCCCAGAACAAGGTGAGCTGTTTGAATAAAACTTCCAGGTTAATAGTTCAACCATTACCCATTATAGAAATGAAGGACTGTGACAGGAATCTTGTTCTTTGATCCTACAAGTGGACTGAAGTTAGGTCTCTGTGTTCTTCCCCAGACAGGGGAAGCTGCTGGAGTGGTGAAATCCGTGCTTGAAGGTCAGGAGACCCTCCTGGATCCTGCCCCTGTTGTACAGGGAAGGAAGGTTAGAAAACAGCAGCCTGCAGGCTGGAAAATGTGTGTAGTGCTGCAGTCGTTGGGAGCTGAGTGTGAACAAACCTTTCCAAGGCCGGACAAAACCAGTGTTTGACACCAGGGCACAGAGCACAGTCTGGTTTTTATCCCCTGCAAGAACCTCACAGCTGCATGTTCTGACTTAGGAGACAAGGGATCTGCTGTGACACAACTGGTCCCCTTGCTGGGAACAGCTGGTTGCTCAGTGCCATGGTACTGGCTTTCAGCCAAGGAGCACTCAGGAGCTTCTAGTTTGGTTTACACCTCAGCCCAGGTACATTTAGCTCAGAGAAGATGGTAAAAGGGGACTTGTTTTCAGCTCTCCTACT